AGGGGATAATGGCTGTTTCGCAGCACAATGCTGCACTCCAAACTGCAGTGGAATAATAAAGAAATAGAGGATCAAGATGAGGATAATTATTGGTGCTTCCAGGAATAAGTTCACAGCTAAACAACCCCCATAATTAGAGAACGCAGCTGAGCCATCTGAAGGAGATCATGGAACTGTATCAGCAAATCAGCTAAGAATTGCACAGAGCTTATAAGCATTTACTCGGAAGTAAGTCTCTTTCAGCATGACAACAGAGACTGTGACATTTCTGTACAGATACAGTCAATAAATAGGGTTTTTCTACCCAGATAAATATGCATTCTTATTCTAGTTGCATGAATCCAAGCTAGCGTTAGTTGCATGAATCCAAGCTAGCGTTAATGCAACTGTGAATCTGATGCTACGGGGCTATTTTAGCAATCTCCCCCTCCTTTTGAGTGTTCGTCATTATTCTCTAATGTTGATATTTTAAACTCTAATTTTAAGTTTTAATTTCAGATGTTAATTTTTACACATTGGTTTATTTATCGGTTATATTCTATTGGACATACTGCCCAGAGCTCCTCTTTGAGGTAAATGGGTGATTTAGAAATATGAAATATAAACAAACAAATCCATGTTTAGGTTTAGCTAAAGGCTGGTGGGAAATTTAAATGCATGAAAGCCCAGGTTCACTTAACTGAAGGTTCAGCTAAGCTGATTTATTGCTACAGGCCTCAGCACAGGAATCTCCTCAGCCGATGGTCAACACCTACTTTGAATTACATAAGATTTAACAGCACTCAAGAGGAGTGGGACCTAGATCACTTAGCGATTCTAGGCTGATGCCTCCTTTCACTCCACCCCAGGTTCTGCCATCCTTTTTCCTGCACACTTTCCCCCTTCTCTGGAGTAATGCAGAGATTTGCAGTCAAACAAACAAAAAAGCTGGCTGGTTTCGGTGCTAAGCCACCCCATAGAGGTGGCGAAGAAGGGGGAGACTGCCTGCAGGATTGAGGAGAGCCACATCTCTCCTCCTCAGCTGGCCATTACTCCCTTTCCTGGAGGCGGTTGCAGCGGTGGTCAGAAATGGCCACCTCAAAGAAGAACTCGACTGGAAAAGAATGTGCAGGAGGAAGATAAGAAGAGAAAGTTTTGGTTGACCAGGTTAAACTGCAAAAGCAACAACTAAGGTACTCTGGAATTTAAACTAAAAAAAAAGTAAGATTGTTCCCAAAGAAGACTTTGAAGCAGCGAAGGAGAGAGGAAAGGGAAAGGATTTGGTTTTTCTTCTTCTCTCCCTTTCCCTATACTGCCAGCTAAGAGATTTAAATAAGAAATTGGAAAAAAAAATCCACTTTGACATCAATAGGCATTTAAGCTGAAAATAAAATGTCAAAGAGATAATAAAGATTTCTGGATACTTAAAAGCTTTTAAAAGCAGGAAAGGAGAGAAAAAGAATAAAAGGGCAGGATCTGGAAAAAGGGAGGAGATTGCCTGGAATTAAAAGGAATTTACAGTAAAACCTCAACAAGACTTTTAAAAGATACATTTTAACTGAAACTTGGCTACAAAATAGTAGAACCCCAGGAAGAGAAAGTAGAAAAAAGAAGCATGAAGAAACAGCTTGGGAGTATTTGGATTATTTGTTGATCTCTGGATTTTTGGTTATTGCATTTGAATGACTAAAATAAATCAGGTGGTTGTTTAAAAGTGTTTAAAATGGCACTACTTTTAGATGAACTGAAAATGGAACTTAAAAAGTACAAAAAAGATGCACAAGAAGGGAGAGGTTCTTTTGGCTTCGTATTTCAATTCTTAGAAATGGAGATCTGGAACTATGAGAAACAACAAGAAATGCCTGCAGAACAAGAAGACTGGGACAAAGAAGAAGCCATCTTTAATGAGCAAGTAATTTTATGTGGGGAAAAAAGAGGAAAGGGGGGAAAGAGAATGAAAAGTTTAAGATTTGAAAAAACAACCAAGAAAAGGAATAACAACTTGAAAAATAAGTATAATATTAGAAGGCAACAGAAGAGGGGAATACAGAAGAGAGAATTAGAATTAGAGAGACAAGGGGGTAAAAAGGGGAGGGAGAAGAAGAGAGGGAAGAAGGAAAGGAAAAGAAGTTATAAAGGACAGAAACAAGATATGGAGAAACAGGGCCTATTTAGAGATAATGGGTGAAAATTTAATTGAAAAAGGGATTCTGCAAAGTTACATAAGATAGTATTGTTATATTAGAAATAATTTTAGAAAATATGAAACAACGTATGATTAAAATGATGGATAAAATACTTATTGTAATCTAGTGAAATGTTTGTTAATAAATAAATGAAATAAAATGAATGAGAGAATTGGATTAGGAAAGGATGGGAACATTTTAATTATTTAATGCTTTATAAAATATAAGGGAAGAGAAATAGGGGGAAAATTAATTACGGAAAACTTATAAGTGTTCCCAAGGAAATATGATATTTAATTGAAAAATGTTAAAGATGTTAAGACTTTAATGACTATTAATGATAGAACTGAATTGGAATGGAATGAGTGTTTTAATTACATATATTTATAATCACTTTTTAAGAATATAGTGTACATTTTAAGAATGCACCAGGCAGAATTTGATTGGAAGTTATGTATTATATTGAATGTTATAACCTCAAGGTATATATTGAAGCTTAAGTAAGAGTTGAATGGATAAAATTAAAAGATATAAAGGTGTCATACTCCAATTAGTAACTACAGGAGAAAATTTGTTTAATGAGAAAAGAAAATATGAAATTGAAACAGGACAGACAAAAGTATAAATATAATGATTTGAATTGAGATGAGATAATTAAAATAAAATTGAGAAAATTAAGAGAGGAGAAAAACTATGTAGAAAATGTAAAACAATAATAAGATATGGAATAGAACATAAAAGTGAGCATGAAATTGAGTTTGTGTCTGTATGAAGAAGTGTAACCCGGGACCATGCTATTTTCAAAAAAAGATGTTGTATTTGTATTATGAGGTGTTTTTTTTGTGAAAACCCAAATAAAATTTTCAAATAAAATAAAATAAATAAAAAATAAATACTGGCAGATAGTGGTGAAACAAACAGGTGCCATTCTTAATTTAGAAAATCCCGCCCATTAATACCTCCGTCTGCTGCCATAGGGAAGTTTGAAAGAGAAGGTGAGGGAAGGCCTGTCACTTGGCTAGGAATAATATTCTGCCAGCAGGCCTGAGGAACCCAGAGCGGGATGGAGCCCATTAAATGGCTCCTGTGATCTGCTGTCACTGAGGTGGGAGGTGATTTTATTATATTAATTTATTTGATTCTTCTGATTAGTTTTACTATTTTAAGTGTGATTTTATATTCTGTAAGCCGCCTTGAATCGCCGTGGTGAACAGGTGGCAATATAAATCCAATAAATAAATAAATAAACAAACAAATAAATAAACATCCTAGATATCACGATTCTCCTAATTTGAATGTATGCCAAATATCAGTTTTCTGTTTTTGGACATTTCCATGGAAAGCTAAAACTTTAGAGCAGTGGTAGGATTCTTTTTTTTTTACTACCAGTTCTGTGGGTGTGGCTTGGTCTGTGTGGCAGGGGAAGGATACTGTAAAATCTCCATTCCTTTCCACTCCTGGGGGAAGGTTACTGCAAAATCCCCATTCCCTCCCCACCCCACTAACCTGCTTTCCAGCTCCGTTCTCCTGTGCAGGGCAACAAAAGAAGACCCAGCCAATCAGCTGGGACTCAATGGGAGGCAGAGAATAGATGGGGGCGGGGCCAGTCAGAGGCGGGATTTGCCGGTTCTCCAAACTACTCAAAATTTCCGCTATCGATACTCTAGAACTGGTCAGAACCCGCTGAATATCATCTCTGGTGCTTTAGAGCGAGGGTGGGCAACCATGGGAATTTTACGACATGTGGACTTCAAGTTCCAGAATTCCTGAGCCAGCAAAGGTCCCCTCGTTTCGACCCTGAGCTACAAATATTCTTTTTAACAAAACTACAGTATCCAATAAATAATGGAAGCTGCACCCATTAGAATAGGAATGGCAAAAAATTGGAATTTGGCCATGACCCCTTCATAAAATATGATAATTAATAAGATACATGAATGTGCTGAAATGGATAGACGAACTAAACTGCTAAAAGAAAGGCAAGACAGTGAATATTACAAAACTTGGGATATCTGGTACGACTGGCTAAAGAAAAGGTGATATTTGATGATCTGGTAACATTTTGGAAAATAAGGGTGACGTGTACATAAATGTAAATAAACTATATGTATGCATATATAGAGTTTAAAATGACAAAGCAGTTATTATGACAATGTATAACACGCTATCAGAAGGAAAGTACAAGTGTATCTATTGCTCAAACAACGCTGCAAAATGTATATATATGTTTTTAATTTTATAAATGTTGAATAAACATATTATAAGAAAAAAGAACAAGGATGTCAAACTTGATTTCATTGAGGGCCACCATCAGGGTTGTGTTTGACCTTGGAGGGCTAGAGGGGCGTGTCCAGACCAATGTCACTTGTTGTTGGCGGCACCTATGGTGGCCTGGATAGGGCTGGGGGGATACATTAACGTCCCGAGCTCCATTTTAGGCTGCGATGGCCTCCTTCAGCCCTGTGCCAGCCTGGGAGGACCACACATGCCCCTTCCAAGCTCCATTTTTGCTGGCAGAGGCACTGCGGACTGGTCCTCCGCTGTTTCCAGGGCAGCTCCATGGGCCAGATCTAAACACCCCGTGGGCCAGATTTAAAAACCCCGTGGGCCAGATCTAAACATCTCATGGGCCAGATCCGGTTTGCAGGCTTTGAGTTCGACACCCCCGCATTAGAAATACACTTGCAGGATAAAATTCAGCTGGACAGGTCAGGTGGAGTAACTTCTCAAGCCCTTTCCATCAAAGAAATATATCACTGAGGACCATGAGGCAGGCGAGATTTTATGAACTGAAATCATTTCTTCGTTGCTACGGTTATCTAGATTGCGACTCACCCGTCTTTCCTTATCCCCATATTCTACGCCCAGCGTGTCCATGGCACGGACAATAGCTGCCAAAGATTGAATAGTGTTGCTATAGATCACAGGCTTGTACTGCTTCACGTCTTCTCCGGAAAAGCCATCTTCATGGATGATCCTTGGTAGGGAGAAAACAAAGAGGTTGGTTAAGAGGGAGGAAGAGAAAGCGTCATCAAAAATAAAACGGGTTTCCTTGGAGCCTTATATGAATGTCGTGCAGAACCAGCCCCAAACTGACCCTTTTTAACTGATTCCAAAATTTACTTCTGCAATTTCTTGGGAAGGAGAGGAGAGGAGAGGAGAGGAAAAAAGAGAAGAGACCTCATAGGTGAAGAAATGTATCTTTGTACGAAATCATTTGTGTATGATTATTTTTATTAATTACATAGATTTATACCCAAAGGCAGGACAAACAGCAATGGAGGGAAACTAATCAAGGGGAGAAGCAACTTAGAACTAAGGAGAAATTTCCTGACGGTGAGAACAATTCATCAGTGGAACGAATGGGTGCTCCATCACAGGAGGTTTCCTGCTTGAGCAGGGGGTTGGACTAGATGACCTCCAAGGTCCCTTCCAACTCTGTTATTCTGTGATATATTGCTTCAATCTGTCGGCTCCAAGAAACTTACAAAATCCCAATGCAGTATTTAAGGTTCATATATTAAATAAAATAAAATAAAAACAAATAAAATATAAAAATAATAATTGAAAAATAATAAATTAATCAGTTAAAAAGGAAACAAAAAACCCCAAATAAACTCAAAGGGTAGACTCGATGGACTACTCTACTAGGTCTTTTTCTGCCGTCAGTTTTCTATATTTCTAGGTTTCTATAATATTACCCCAAACAAACCCCAACTAACGATAATCTCGACAACTCACACCCACAATAATCAGTCTTTCATTGTTTCTGCACCGACCAGTGTTTTCTCAACCTGGACAATTCTAAGAGGTGTGGACTCCAACTCCCAGAATTCCCTATCCACCATGGGAGTTGAAGTCCACACCTCTTAAAGATGTCAAAGCTAAGAAACATTAGTTCCAGACCAAGCAGTCACAACTGGCTCTCATTTACTGGTTCCTTATCCTTTCTTCCATTTCCTCCCATGCAAAAGGGGCTCACAAATAAAATTATCGTGGATAAAATGTGGCCTTTCCCCCACTTATTTCGTTATGGCGTGGCTAAGGATGCGCACAAATGTTCTGTTTTCAACAACAGCCTCCTCCTCCTCCTCCTCTTTGTGCTCTACAACATCTCTTGCTCCTTTGGATTTTCCTGAAGCCAAGGGAGATACCAGAAGGGAAGATCTCCAGTGGGTATTTTTGAAAATAAAAAATAAAAAAGCACTGTGAGTAGCCACACAAGTTGCAAAGTGATCCAAAGAAGTCCAGTAGAAAACACAAAGGTTACAGTTGCCCCACCCACCATTTCCAGTGACTCACTGGGAAAAAAAAAAATTCAGAAGCAATCTTTGAGCCCTCCTCATCCGAAAAGGACAGTGGTTCCCTTATAAGTTAGTTAGTTGATTTATTTACAAGACTTATTTGGCTCCCTAGGAGCACAGAGGCTCGAGCGTGTTGGAACGCTGGGCAGGAGGTGAGGAAACCCATGTTCGAAACCCAAGAGCTGCCGTGGGGCGGGGTTGAGTTCTTGTCCTTTCCTCCAGCTCTTGATGGGGACATGAAGGTAAAAGTAAAGGTCCCCCTCGCACATATGTGCTAGTCGTTTCTGGCTCTAGGGGGCAGTGCTCATCTCCGTTACAAAGCCGAAGAACCAGCACTGTCCAAAGATGTCTCCATGGTCATGTGGCCGGCATGACTAAATGCCAAAGGCGCATGGAACACTGTTACCTTCCCGCTAAAGGGGTCCCTATTTTTCTACTTGCATTTTTCACGTGCTTTCGAACTGCTAGGTTGGCAGAAGCTGGGGCAAAGAACGGGAACTCACTCCGTTATGCAGCGCTAGGGATTCAAACCACCAAACTGCCGGCCTTTCTGATCCACAAGCTCAGAGTCTTAGCCTCTGAGCCACCGTGTCCCTTGGGGACATGAAAGGATCCCCCAAAGGGGGACTATACCCAGAATTAGTTGGGGACATCATACCCAGGGTGACAGTGATGTCACCGACCGGCTAATCCTTTCAACTCAGAAGCACTCCCTATCTCATGCACAATAACTCTGGTACATCATAGGATTCGGGCTAGCTCCGTCAAAGCAACCTAAGATGGCTCTGAAGTCCGACATTCACTAGGCATGTGCCAACTGCAGACACCCAAATTCTCAACCATTAGGGTTCCCCACCTGTTTGCAGAAACATCTGCACGGCAGTCATTAGGGACAGTCTCCCCTGGACATTCAGAAAGACCAACTGGCCAACTGCAAAGAAAGTGGGGACGGACAACTACGTCCCATCTCTGCTCTTTCTTGCTATGTTGTTTATCTCTCTTCCTCCTGCTTCTCCCTGCTCCTCAGGGCCTCTGATCCTCCTCTGCCCAACCCTTAGGGGAAATTAGCAGCTAAAGGAGAGAGGTAATAAGCATTGATAAACAATCAGTGTGGCTCCAGATCCCATGATATTTTGCCAGCTTTTCTCTAGAGGAACTCAGAGACTTCATAACACTTGAAGGTGGACAGAAAGCAGAGCTGGCATCAAAGGCGTTCAGTACAGAAATAAAAATAAAGGCTCATAAAAGCTCCTGGTTAGGAATTCCTCAGGAAAAAAATATACACATAAATGATTAAGAGGTGTTATTTCTCACCTTTGGTACATAAAACTTTATGGGAAGGGGAGGTGCCTTTTCAGGCAGCTGGTAGACAATAATCCATGTGTAATAATGATTTTAAAAAAATTAAGCATGGCGCAAATCTCAAGAGATTTCACATTTTGTGAGAATTTGGCAAAATCGCCTCTCAGCTGTCCTGTAATAACACTGGAATCTCCTGAGATCTGGTGATAGCCTGAGATTTGGGTCATTAAATATTAAAATAGATTTTTCACAGTACATCAGAACACACATTGATGCTCTGCAATCGACTGGTACAGGCTTGGTAACAAGGGCTTTGCAAGGAAAGGTCCAGAAAGTAAGATGGAGGTTGCAGTTGGGGGATTGAAGCTGCATTGCCTTTTTTATCTGTGTTGCACAAACATCCTTGCTTAGCTGAGCTAGTAGGAACAAAAGAAAGGGAAGGAGGGAGGGAAGGGAGAAAACAGAGGAGGAGAGGAAGGAATGAAGGAAGGAGCAAGGGAGGGAGGGAAAAAAGAAGGGATGGAGGAAGAAAGGAATAGAGGGAGGATGGAAGGAAGGGAGGGAGGGGGAGGGAGGAAAAAAGGAAGGAGATAGGAAGAAGGAAGGAAGGAGAGAGGGAAAGAGGGAGAGAGGGAGGGACGGAGGAAGGAAGGAATGGAGAGAGGAGGGACAGAGGGAGAGAAGAAGGGATGGAGGGAGGAAGGAATGGAGGGAGGATGGAAGGAAGGAAGGGAGGAAAAAAGGAAGGAGATAAGAAGAAGGAAGGAAGGAGAGAAGAAAGGAGGGAGAGAGGGAGGGACGGAGGAAGGAAGGAATGGAGGGAGGAGGGAGGGAAGAGTGGGAGGGAGGGACAGAGGAAGGAAGGAAATCTTCCAGTTGTTCCAGAAAGGAGCTTTAAAGGCAAAAGCCCTTTGCACCTTCACTGATCTAATTAAGTGTGGTGTGGGAATCCAGCTAGGAATCCAGCATGGTTTCTTGCTAGCGAGAGGAATAAGGCTGCCAGTGACGCAAATTTCTCTTCACCGGGAGCAGATTGTCATACACCATAACAGCTTTGGATTGCAATAGACCTATTTATTATTAGCAGAACCTGGTCCAGAAAAAAAAACCTCAAATGTGTGATTCCACAAAACATGGCTATCCAATTTCTAGTCCCCAGACATCAAGATATGAAAAAAACCCGCACATTTTAAACAGGCCATTGTGCTGGATATATAGAAGAAAGATGAATTTTTTTATTTCTCACAAATTCTGGAACAAATATTTGCTTTTTAGAAAAGCATAGAAGTGCCCCTTAGAATTCCTGAACTGTCTTAACATTCATGCAAAGATCATGATGAAATTGTTGAGTTCCTTGCTTCCTTTTTTCCATCCTTCCACCCTCCCTCCCTTCCTTTTCTTCCCATATCGCTCCTTCCTTCCTTCCTTTTCTTCTCATCTCCCTCCTCCTTCCCTCCTTTCTTTCTCCCTTTTTCCCCATCTCTCTCCTTCCTTCCTTCCTTCCTTCCTTCCTTCCTTCCTTCCTTCCTTCCTTCCTTCCTTCCTTCCTTCTAAGCAGGGTACTCAATAATATGGTATGATTAATTTCTTTTATTTGTTATTCAGTTCTGTATGTATTGTGTATACCTCAATTTGCACTTTAAAAATGTAAATCAATTCTGCATTAGACATAACCTGTGTGTGTTTGTGTGTGTGTGTGTGTGTGTGTGTGTGTGTGTGTGTGTGTGGTGTTTAGAATGCACACACATTTCAAACAGGCTCTTTGCTGTGTGTGTTGCCATCCAAATCAATTCTTCCAATTCTTTAGCCCAAGGTTTAATTTCCCGTGTGTCATCTGAGTGAAGGCGGGAAACATTGGGCAGAGCTGATGAACTCTGGGGTATTAACCAAACCCAAAACAGAGCAAAGATCCTCTTTCTATCTTCACCCCAACCTTGCAAAAATAAGAGAGAGAGAAAAAAAACATCACGCTGAGCAGAAAAGCGGGATCATCCCTTCGGATAAACTGGACAAACCTTTTTACAGCTTGCAAACACCCTAGGAGGATCAAGGCAAGAAGTTTGCTTTGGCCCTGGAGGCAAATTGTGTAGCTATAAATCACACTGTGGCTTCTTCTGCCTTATTTTCTATTTTCTTTTTCAAGTAAAACAACAACAACAGCCACAGAATTTGGTCAGGTGAAGCCGGTAGTAGCAGCAAGTGGGAATCATGCCACTTGGACTCACCGGCAATTTTCATTTAAAGGAGGAAACAGTTGGATTGCAGGAGGCAACTACAAGTTGGTACCAACAGGAGGTGGTATCTGGGCCTGCAACCGCCCCATGGGGGAATGAAGCAAAACAAATCAATGCACAGGCTTTGGGGAGAGGGA